ATCTTATTAGTCCTAAATTACTCCTCCAATTATGCTCTAACTAAATATTCGTGATATATATAATTTCTAATCATATATAATAATATAATAGATAATCATCATGGATAGCTTGAGTCATAGGCATGTGTCATAATTTACATAGAATCAGATGCTGTTAAAATGAATGGTGGATATAAACAACACTGAGGTAATGATGAACAGTACTTTATACGCCTGTATGAGCTTGGCACAGCATCGCAATTTACATTATTGCAAATATCCTTCAACAACCTTCAGTGCTGAAAAATGAAAACTGACATCATTAAGTCAACCTCATGTCCTTCCAACCCTGTTTGACTTTCTTTCTTCTGAGGAACATACTGTAAAAAATGTTTTGAAGAATATTTCAACTGTTCTTATCCATTTAATTAAATTCAATGGGGTCCAAATGTTTCAAGATTCAAAAACAAACATAAAGGTATAGCATGAAATAAATCCAAAAAACCCTCAATAAAACATCATTGGTTCTTGTAGAAGCTCAAACTACGTAACACGAGAATGAACCTAATTGGTTCTTGCAGAAGCTTAAACATGATGCGTAACGCGAGAATGAACCTCAATGTTTTTTGCTGAAGCTCAAACGTTTGATGAATGTTTGTATACGAATAAAAGCCTAAATTAAATCTGTTCATCATATCACATGGATTCGTTACAATCTCTTTATGAACTTTTTCAACCATCAAAGTGGTAGTTGCGTAACTGTCAATGGATCGTTAAAAAGATCTTAATTTGTATTCTGAAGATGAACGAAAGTCTCAGGTTTGTAACTAATGATAGAATTGACATTTTTGGGTGAACTAACCCTAAGCCCTTAGTTCTCCTTTGTTAACTGTCTTGTGTTAAAGTCACATTGTTACATGTAAGCTAGTGTTCTTCATGTTGAATAAAAGTATTTTATTATCAGAGGAAAAAATAATTTCCGAACTGCCGCAGTTAACAACTATAAAACTATTGATATTATAAACAAACATCAAACCTCAAAGGTCAAAATCAGGAACATTTAAACATTTAGGAAGAGAACTGTAAATATTCAGATTGATTTCAATATTATTAGCACAATATTTTGTGTAAAATCTGTCTATTAAAGCAAAAGCACGTGAGAACCACTGAGATGAAGATCAGAGGCAAGCACCATCCCCCTCCATCAGCCCATGAACTAGAGGCACGCATGTCTCAGACGGTGCTGCACGAGATATGTAGGTCATCATCATCATGAAAAGTACTTCCGTTCACCCAGACGCACCTCCTCAAAAGTCACAACCCAGGTCTTTGTCTTCACATCTTTATGCTGGTGGATCTGACACTGCAGATGCGTCCCTCAGGAGCAGACTGAACAAGAGGGGCCTATCAGAGACCCTTTACATCTCTGTAGAGCTTTTTGTGGAAGGCTGTTCCGTCTCGGGATTTTGGAGCCAGGGAGAGTCCTCTCTGGGACAGTCAGATTACAGGTGACCTGTTTGGCCTGGGTGGAAGAACAAACAGTAATGTCCTCTCTTCAGCTCCATTAACCCAGTAAAGCCTGACCCACCAAATAATAATTTTTTGAACATTTTTTTTTAAATCTTTAGACAAAATATTAAAAATAAAAGATCTAAAAAATGTATGTGCCTTGTCACATTATAGCTTTGGCGTCATTGAACTGCTCAGAGTTGGAGAAAAATTTATCAATACAGAAGGAATTTTTAATGGCAAACATGATTAGCTGACAGGCTGTCGAAAATAAGAGTACTATGCAATTTTATATTCGATTTGAACATCTCACAATCTCGCTAGAAGTAGTTGGTCATTACTTTTCAGCTCCTGTTTTATGAATATCAATTCAGACATACTGTACTATTCAGCTCACATACAGTTTTTGAAGTACTGTAAGCATATTCAAATATGCAAAATTAAAAAGACTGAAATTAGTAAAAGGAATAAATGTGACAAAAATAAAGAATAAAAGCCTTTTTGGCTTTTGCATGCTAATGCAAGTTTGCTATTTTACCATTAAGATGGAACTTCCATTCAAAGAGCTGGAATATCGACTCTTTAAATGAGTCTCATCTGAAAACTAATTATGAAAGACTAAGCGTTTTAGTAAACTTGTGTTCTCTGCATTTGAAGAAAGGAATAGGCATGAGTTTTTGATGTTAAGTAGCCTCAGACTCAGTCTGATGTTTCATTTGTTTGAACAGAGTGAAAACACTAGACAAGAACGTATAACACACAGGAACAGATTTCTGTTCTCACAGAGATGTATTATTGTTAATTTTTTTTCAGACTGCTGGGCTTGGTGTTCTTCTGTCCATTTGAGAAGTTAGTTGACCTACACACACAGACAGATCTAGCTCACTATACGCTCTGTGGGTCAAACGACAGGACCACACTCTGCTCAAAGGTCATTCATAATTGATTTACTGAACTGAATCCAGTGCAGAGAAACGCATGCGACTGAGTTCTCACGCTAACACTCAGTCAC